ATATATATATATATATAGCAGTGGGTTGTTTGTCTTGGCTTGTATATCATGTTGAAATTGTCATTAGTTGCTAGATCTTTAGTGTTTCTGTTGGCTCTAATCTAAATGTTTCATGTTGTTTGGCCAAGAATATTATGCAGGAAATTGTTTACCTTAGCTGGTATCTCATGTTGGGCTTACAATCAGTTGCTAGACTTTTAGTGATCCTGTCGTGTCTGTTTTAAATGCTTCATGTTGTTTAGCTGCGGATGTAGGCTTATAAAAGGCATGATTCAATTCTTATGCATGGGCGGCTTCTTCTTTGTGTTCTTATTTCATTTGTACCTTTATGTTGAAATTTAAAGTCTATTTCAGCCCTATAAGCTCACGGTTTTCCTCGTTGGATTCCTTTAGTTTTGAAGCTTTTGAAAGTCTTGCTTTGGGGCTTTGTTCTGTTGCTTCTTTGCTGCCCACTCTGTTCGAAACACAAATGTATGGTTATATTTAGCTTTGGGCTTTTTGAAGTTTTGTTTTTGTAAGTTTTACTTTGAGGGCTGTTAGATTTTTGGCTTGTACTTCTCTGTTGCCCCTCTATTTGAATCATATATGGATAGTTATTTTTGTTATGAAACTTTTGGTGTTTTATCATGTTTCTTCTCTGCTAGTAGCTCTATTTGAGAGCCTTGTTGGACTTATCTCATTAGTGTGGGTTGTTGCCTTGCTTCCTCTACTCGAGAGCAGTTATTTGGGTTCCCTTTGTGTTGGCTTGGTGGCTCCCCTGCTGTCCCTACCCGAAAACACCTATTTGAGTTCCTTTGTGTTGTGTTGGGTTTATTCTTCACTAGAGTTGCTGGTTCGAGGTGGACTTGAGTGTTTTGATCTTTGTGGATTGGAATACCTTAATCTTTGTATTTGGAAGAAATCGAGTGCCCCATTTTCGAGGAGCGATTTGTTAGATGTTTGGAGATATTCAGGGCTCAATTCCTTTGACTGAATTGATTGCAATAAAAAAAAAGAATCCTTTTGGTATTTGTTAGGAAGGTTTAGTTGCAATTTGCGGCCTTTCGATACACCTCTTTCGGATTGTTACACCAGTAGCTTGGAAAGTAGAATTAGCTATTGATAAGTGTGCCCCCATTTTGTTGTTTATCTGAGGTGTTCTATCGGGTGAATATTTGAGGCTAACGCTCCTACCATTTTGGCTTCCTTTTTAAACTGGTTTTGGAGGCGAGTTAATCTTCTTTTTTTCATTTCTTTCTTTTAGGTTCGCTTTTCTTGCTTCTTGATTTGGTTTTAGGTGCTTATGTTCGAAACATAAGCACGCATATATAGCTGTGGCTATATATGAACCATCAAGCAAGGTCGTAAGTTGGACGGTCTTTTTTTTTGGGTTTTGGGCTGTGATGACAAAGACATTCGGTGGTAGAGTGAAATAATGTTTCATCCTACGACATCAGGACCCGACTTAGGGACCCGGTGAAATGTAGGATGACAATATTATTCACCGACACAAAACTAGCAGGGACCCATGCTTTTTTAGGCTGTTGGCGGTCCTAGCCCGACGGCGTGATCGACTTGTTGACAATCATATTTTACGAAGCACGATGACAAGAACAGATACGCTATTTATAAAAGTATTTTGACTACGAAAAATTGATACTACTTTTTATTATATGCGTGCCAAAATATAAATTTTAAGTAATATAATTTGATTGTCCACTTGTCAATTACCGGTACTGGGCTGAGGAGTACCCTCCTAAGTTGGTATTGTAGGAAACTTTCTAGTTGAATGTCGGGCTCTAGACATACAGGTGACTGATAGTTGTCTTCGGAGTCCCTCGAGAATACCTAAATCTAAGTCTAGTCCGACCCAAATGTTTACAGTTTTCTTTCTTTCCTTGGATTTTTCGTGTGTTTCCCACGGTTTTATTGGGATATTTATAGATCATTCGTGATTTTCTCCGGATTTTTCTTGTGTTTTTGATGGTTTCTTCGAGTTACCGTGGGTCATTTGTCCTTTTTCTCGAGTTTTTCAGGTGATATTTGTTATTCATTCTTGTTTATATAAATTCATGCTTACACATTTTTTTAAATTCCTTTCATTATACTTGTTTATTTGTACATGCTACACCGACCTCATTTACGGGAGCACCGACCCGTCAGGTAGACAGATTTGTTTTATATTTACATCGTCTCGTTTTCTTCACTGCACACTTTACTGCATATATATATACAGTTCATGCTTGCGATGCTATTGTTTATTGTTTATTGCGTTGCGAAGCATGTTTCCCTTTTATTAATCATGTTATTTTTATAGAATTGCAGGCACCTTTTAGGATAGAGGACAGTAGGACACCCGGTTTAGGAGACACCCTATAGCGAGTCACTGACCTAACAACTGTATATCTATACACACCAAAACCCCGAACCTATGACCGATATATTAAGGAGCTTGGAGTATCCTTTCCAGGAAGCGGAACGAGAAAGCGAGCGGACGGAGGGTGACGATCGAGACCAGAGCAGCAAAGGGAAGGGCGATCTTCAGTTGGAATTATTATAGAATAAATAACAAACTCATAGGACTTCGAGGTAGCCCGCTTAGTGCGACCTAAATCCTCACTTCCGTTTTATGCCTCTGCACCACTCTATTGTGCATTATAAGTCTTAATTCTCTTAATCATCAAGCATGTCATATATCCCTGTTATAGAGCTTTATATTATTGGTATATTATAATTCTCGTTTCCTTTATTGTCATGGGAAGTTATGATTGATTTATGATGTTCCTAATATAGGAGTCATCCGCCTCTATTTATTTTATAATCATTTCTTATGAAAAAGAAGATAAATAATTATTTTTTCCACTTCTAAAACCTACATTACTTATAAGTTGGTGTTATTGGTACACCCTCACATTCACCTAAATTTCATGTTTCTCTCCTCAAGGCCTGTGGCGAAAATAAACAGTTCACCCAGAGCAATTTATAGTAAAATCTTGAGAAATCATCTAGCATTCCTATAGAAAAAAAATGGGCATTTACATAGAGATTTCCGTCACCAATGATTCTGTCGCTCGAAGGATGCCTCGTCTCTGTCGTAGAATTTCCGCTTCCGCTCGGTTTCTGCTTTTTCCACTTCTAAAACCTACATTACTTATAAGTTGGTGTTATTGGTACACCCTCACATTCACCTAAATTTCATGTTTCTCTCCTCAAGGCCTGTGGCGAAAATAAACAGTTCACCCAGAGCAATTTATAGTAAAATCTTGAGAAATCATCTAGCATTCCTATAGAAAAAAAATGGGCATTTACATAGATAACGCACAATTCTTATGTATTCACATATCTAACACTTAAACATTCATATTTACATGCATACCACTCAAATCTTGTACATCACATCAAAAATACCACCATCATTACCTTTTTAAAAGTGAAATTCATAATTTTATACAGATTTATGACATCAAGGTATTATAAGTATAAATATCGAACTTCGGGTGTGGGATATGTAAATACATAAATTTATGCAAATTTCCCAAAAAAGAAAAAACAAAACCAGGAAATCAGGCATCCTGAGTTTTTAGTTACAAGTTACATCATCAAGTCAATAACAAGGACATCATGATAAAAGGAATGCTTTCTAGTGCCAAGGACACAGGAAAGATAAAGTTTAGGGAGATATTAATGTGTGAAACCTCTAGTACTTGAAGTCATGGCATCTAACTCATAATAAATACAATCAAACTATTGGCTAAGGGGTGTGAGTGACCGAGTCAGCTCGAGCTCAAATCGTTAACACGATTGTGAGTCGAGCTTATCAAGCAACGAGCTCGAGCGTAAGCTCAAACTCAAGCCTAAACAAGATCGTGTTTAAGCCTGTCTACGCTCGGCTCATTAGCTCTCAACTTGGCTCGACTAGTCTATTAATGGTCATGCCGATACTTTTTTTTGCGAGTTGCAGTGATGCTCCTCCTTTAGCCATCAACGCCTTCTCTGGTGAGATCCATGATAATTTGATTTTTAGCTCAAGCTCGCGAGTTTAGTGCTCATTGTGAGCTGAGCACAAGCTTGCATTTTGACACAAAGTTGAGCTCGGTTATAAGGATTGTCGTGATGGGGATTGTCGTGATGGGGATTGTCGTGATGATATAGCTGACTGCCACTTTATTAAGAATGAAAGTAGGAAAAGTGAGAAAACAACATATTTTTTCTCTAAGTTAGAAATTTCCACATTGACTGAGAAATTCAAGTTCTCTCTCATTAGAAAATTTCAGTGGAGACACCCACCTATGGAAGTTATCAGAAAAAATTTTGATGACCTCAAACTAGCAGAAAAGTAGAAAGTGTGGCTCATGGATTAAAGACATTTGTTGATCTTGTTGATCCAATTAACTGCGACTGAAGACTTTACTCGGATTTTCTCCGAAAAAAATATCTTACCATTGAAGTCAAAGAAGTTACTTAAGTGGTCTCCTGATTTCAACTCTAATCATGAATCTCCTACTGTATCGATATGGTTTGGTCTACCTGGTCTCAAGCTGCACTTTTTTCATCATCAGGTTCTTTACTCTATTGGGGCTACACTTGGGGACCCTATGAAGCTAGATCTACCCACTTTCAACATAACCAGACATTTTGTGGCTAGAATACTTGTAGAAGAGTTATTACTTTACCTGATGTCATTTGCATCTTGACACACAAGTTGAGCTTGAGTTAAGCGTGACCTGAGCTCGACTCAACTCGTTTACACTAATGGATATTGGCAACAAATCTTCATGGAACACAGCCCTGTTTACACTCCTACTATATTTCAAGGCTCATCGTTTAAAAAAAAAAATTCTTATGTATAAATCAGATTTAATGAAATCTAATGTTCAAGTGGATAAGGATGGGTTTAACCCTACTGCTCCAGATATTTTAGTTTTACCTGAGAAGGATATTACCAGACAGGTGTTTGTTGCCCCTATAGACCTCCCGCTTGACACTGCTGTTACTGTTATTGCGATTGATGTAATGCTGACACCTTCAAACCTTATAGAAAATAATAATAAGCTTAATAAGAGAATTAGCCTTTGGAAAACTATATTTATGTAGTTTCAAAGAATAAAAAGGTGTTTGTTGCCCCTGTAGACCCCCCGCTTGACACTGTTGTTACTGTTATTGCGATTGATGTGATGTTGACACCTTCAAACCTTATAGAAAATAATACTGAAAAACTATTACCTACAAAGGATAGTGTTCAGACTGATAATCAGGAGAATCTCGCACTAACAGTAACAACAATTTGGGCTTTATTTCTCTTTAATATATTAGCCGGATATTTCTATTTAATATATAACAGTAAGTAACCGGGTATTTACATATCCAATGCCTAAACTTTCATATTTATACACTTGGCACTCAGATCTTTAATATCACATAAGAAATAGCACTATTGCCACTTTTTAAAAGTGAAATATACCTTTTCATGCAAAGATTTAAAACACTAGAATGCTATGCATGAAAAATATGAAAGTTTAGGAGTGAGATGTGTAATTAAATAAGAATTGTGTGCTACGTATATAAATTTCCCATACATTAAATGCATGAAAAGATTTCATATTTATACACTTGGCACTCAGATCTATAATATCACATAAGAAATAGCACTATTGCCACTTTTTAAAAGAAAAATATACCTTTTCATGCAAAGATTTAAAACACTAGAATGCTATGCATGAAAAATATGAAAGTTTAGGAGTGAGATATGTAATTAAATAAGAATTGTGTGCTACGTATGTAAATTTCTCATACATTAAATGCATGAAAAGATGATAGAAAGTGGGTTCATCAAAATCAACATACCATCGAATAAGCAGAATAAGCAAAATCCGAAACACCATAGTGAAGTCCATCAAAAATGAAAGCGAGAGCGTTAATGGGTTGGCTGGCACTGACAAACTAAAGCGAATTATAGAGCAATCTAACACTCCATATTAAAAAAGTTAATTCACTAGAGCGATGTAAAAATTGCTTACCACCACCCCACTTCTAACAATAGTTAGTAATTCTACATCCTTGGTGAATAATTCAGCAACATTGTCAAATGAGACAAAAAGAATTAGAGCTAGGGTGATTCCCATAAGAAGTCCAATCTGAGATAGAAGATGCATTTTCGTTAATCAATATGCAAAATAAATTCTTAACTGGAGGTAAAAGTATAACATTAAAAATAGTATCCAACTTGTATAGCATCAAAATATTAAACTATAAACAATAAAAAAGAGAAAAAAAAATACCTTTAAGACACATAACGTAATTTCTTTCACTCTTTTGTAATCATGCTTTGCAAAAGAACTTGCAATCAATGCCTATCAAAAAAACAATCTAATCAAAACAAAAACCTAATAAGAGGATAGAAAGAGATGCAAAATCTTCCAATACCGAAAGATATTATGCCAAATATATGAATGTATGTGATTGTGTGTGTGTGTTGTTGGGGCATTTACATACATGGCACACAATTCCTATGTATTTACGTATCTCACACCTAAACTTTCATGTTTACAAGTATGACACTCAAATCTTTAATATCACATCAAAAATAGCACTATTATCACTTTTTAAAAGTAAAATACAACATTTCATTTCTTGAAAAAAAAAGAAAATAAAGAGCATTAAAATAATTTCCTGAAAAAGCCAAATAATTTGTTGCCTAACCCTCCCCAACAGAGGCTAAAAAGACAAAGGATACAAAATGACAAACCTGTGCAGAAAGTGCAAGTGCATCAGATATGAGAGATACAGCCAACCATATCTGCAAACAAATCTGATGAGCTGCCATAGCCAAAGGCCCTAACCGAGCAGCCATTGAGGTTCCTAAAGTCATAGATATCAAGACAGACAAAGTTCTCCCGAGCAGGAAACCGCCTGAGAAAATTTAATTTTAATTAAAGATACTGCTTCAAGACCGCAAATTTACTCTCTTGTTGTTCTCGCGCAATGCAACAAATCAAGCATGTGGTCTAATCATTCAACTAAATAGGCAGTTCCTTCAAACTAGATAAAGTCAACAATAATAGGAAGATGTACCTACATACCTTACATATCTAACACCTAAACTTCAATTTTTACATACATACCATGCTGCCTATGCATGAAAAGGTGTAATTCAGTTTTAAAAAGTTAAAATGGTGCTATTTTTAATTCAATATGAAAGATTTGGGTGAAATAAATGTAAAAAGCAAAATTTAGGTATCAGAAATGTAAATGCATAAGAATTGAGTGGTATGTATGTAAATGCCCATAACTTTACTCTTCAATTTTAATGATGCAAAGAGAAATGATACAGTGAGAGGCTTTCCCATCGCTCCTATCAAATTTCATTGACTTCAAAATCATGATTCGATTTCGAACAAGATTATACCAATGTTCTTATCAATGTATGAAGAAAGATGATACACCAAAATACTTTAACATGTCATTTATAACTGAATTTATCATACATTATTGTGAATATGATGTATTAATCAAGATGTGGTTCTCGCAATTCGTAAGTCTTGAATTTTATTTTTCTTTCTATTTACTAGTAAAGTTCCTAATACATAACTAAAAAATTCATCTAATTAAGCACAAATCTTCATGCAATTTTTGAATTAGAAACTTACGAAAATTCAAAACCATTTGAAATTTAATTTTAGTAAATTTACATTCAAATTGAATGTCTCGACAAGATAAATCCAACGGCAAAAATGATATAATTCAAGTTCAAATGAACACAAATCAATAGTTGACGTGTAAGTGAAAACTTAGGACATTAATTAAGGGTTCAAATAATTGTTGAATCTTGCATGATTATAGTCAGATCGAAAGTCTCGACAAGAGAAATTTAGCGAACCCAATAACGTTGTATTTCAATGTCACTAGGATTGTTAAATGTTGAATGTGAACGGCCCAAGACCAGAGAAAATAACATAGCTATCTGATGGAATATTTTGGGAATTCGGTTGAAATAATCAAAATGTTTTTCCATAAAGTTAAAAGATCCCCTTTCTTCACATGAATGGACCTACACTCGAAAGAAGAGATCTTAGAGGGCTTAAAATTCTGAAGTAATGCACAATATTCGACACTGACGACTAGCGCCGACAATTGATGTTGACAAATATTTGTGTCTAACTATCATCGCTCGACTATGTTCTCCTAACCATTATCACACGACTAGTCTCCCGGTCGTCATTGCCTGACAAAGGACTATAGACCACCTTCACCCAACAACGATCTCTCAATCAACGTTTTTTGACTATAAACTCTAAACCGTCATCGCTCGACAACGATATCCATACCATTGTCATCTGACTATCATCTTCCAAGAACATCACACCACTATAGTCTCCCAACCTTTGCTTCTGACTATTTTCGCCTAATTACAATCTCTCTAACCACAATCGTTGAGTATGATCTCTCGACTATTGTGCTCATATATTGTATCGTGAATGTTATAGCCTGACTACGATATCCCGACTGTTGTCTTCTGACCATCTTCACCCAACTTCGATCTCTCAATCAACATTGCTTGACTATACTCTTGGCCGTCATCACTCGACTACAATATTGTCGGCACTATTTTTAGTTGTGGAGTTGTCCATTGAGTTGTCGGTCGCCGGAATCGGAATCCCGTCGCCCGCTTCGGAAAGACGTTTAATTTATATATATATATATAAGTTTTAGAAAAAAATATGAAAATAAACTGACCCTATATTTTTCATTGTTTAAATGAAAGAGCATTATACCTCAAATCCTATATCTATCCCAAAAGACAAACGTAAGACTTGAGGGTAAGACTCAATCAAATAAACTAAAAAATATATGGCGTCTGTTTGGTCTGCAAAACCATTTTTATTTGTCGATAAGTTGTCCTATTTAATACGAAGAATTAAATAGGATTTATATTAAGTTGGGTTCGGAAAAGTTTCCTATAAGGGCAAGCTTTTACAGTTAATTACATCTTAGATAACCGAAATCACCTAAGAAAACTCTCGATAAAAATCAGGAAATATTATCTTCAAAGAGGTCAAAAGGATAGGACTTTTCAACGAGATCGGATAAAGAGATATGACAGGAGAATGATTCAAATTTGGAACATTTATTGTGGAATCCAAGAAGAAAAAATTAGGGGAAGTCACAGATCCAGAGGAAAACCTCGGTGACTTCCCAATCTATTATATTGTTTGGCTTCCGTTTTGAGGAAAAATATTTAAATGTTTCATCTTGTAAATTTTATTATTTAAGACTTACATTCATGTGAAATAATCATACAAATAGCCTGAAAGATGTGCGGATTTAGGTCATGACAAACGACAACCTCGGAATTCTAAGATGATTTGGGACTTATGTTATATAACAGGGCTATACAAAAACCTAAAGATGAGTTGAGGATTTATGTTATACTAGGCAGACAACCTCAAAATCCTATGGCTTGTTGTTTAATTCTAATGAATGATTTAGCTGGTGTACACATATTTTGCTGTTGAAGATGACCGGGCTGCCCACAATAATAGCTCCAAGCTCCTTATCGTGACAAATTTAAGTTTTCTAATGTGATTGGTTATGCTGTCAAATCAAGTGTCTCTATAATTATAGTTCTTTAAATATTATGGGGCATATTAAAGTTGATTAGAGCGACACCGGTTAGGATCCTACGGTTCCCTGGTTCTGGCACCACTATTTTCTATTGGATTCACTTAGTCTAAATGAATTTACTAAACTCAACTCAATGAGTTTCATACTTTCATTTAGATCATGAGAAGTCTCGTTAGCAACCGTAGGTTACCTCCTCCGAGGGATTCTCGATCATCCGATAGAGACGTTTTTATTTAGTTGCAATTGTTGTTTTGTGATGTTTGTGATTAAATTTTGAGTTGTATTATATTTTGAATGTTGTGGCGGTGAATTTTATCTTGGTTGATTTTAGTTTTGGTTTTGATTTTGTGACTATCCTAGCAGTTTTAAGTTTTCATGCAAGATGACATCATTGTTTAACATACATGTTTGAAATAAAAAGTACAATAAGGTAAATGCATTAATTTAAAAGCGTACATGTCGAGTCTTCTCGCTCTACCACATAAAAGATTAGTACTTGCAAGTATTTATAAGAAGGTTTAAGTTGTAAGAGTAGATGAAGGTTTAACTATCAAACCCTAGATTATGATTTTGTTGAATCTCGAAAGATCCTAGTGGATAATTTTGGAACAAAATATGACAAGTCCAATGTGCCCTTCAGAATATCCAATAGATTTCAAAATGTTCAAGGTGTGGCCCTAGATCATTTTGAATATCTCTTGAAATATCCCGAGTTCATTTTGATCTTATCATAATATGCCAATAATCATCTGAGGCTAGAGTGTGGCTAACCCATTGCTCCTTGAAGCTTAACAATTTAATTATCCCAAGGATAGAATACTCGATTAGTCAATTGATGTTTCATTTAAAAGTTATGTGAGTGGGTGCCCTTAAGGCGTGTTTGAGTCATTTTAAGATTATGGTGCCCGGAGTTAAAGTCAGGTTTGTAATGCTTAAAGATGTTAGTCACAAATCATGTCATTTTCTAAATCCAGTCAACTTGAGTTTAGAAATCGAGCCTAGGCCACTACTAAGCCTTTAACAATCATAATGAGTGAAATGGTGGTTTTCAAAGTTTTGATTTAAGTGTCATATACCTTATTAAATTATCACATCCTCAACTTTGGGCTTAATAAAAGTAAATTATCATCTTTCGGCGGCTTAAGCCCATCACTTAAAAATCATTTGATTTTTAATTGACTTCCAATTCATGAAGATTAGAAGAATTATGCTTTAGTTGATGTTGTGCAAGCGTGTTGAATGAGTTTCTACATTTTAGCCCCATTGTATTCTACCTTTTACCCATTATGTTTCAAATCATCCAAACATGTTCATTGAGGTCAAAATTGCCCATTTTCCCTTTGATACTCCTAAATTTTTTATTAAGGCACCAAAGTCTTAAAATTACCATTTTGCCCTTGGGGCACTTCACCTCATAACTCTTTAAACACAACTCAAGTGATTTTGAGGGTTTAGAGTATTATATCCATGAGGTAATTTAAAATGTTAGAGGAATATATGTGGACCTCTCAAAATTTAATTTAATTTAGATGATTATTTAAATTAAAGGATATGATTTTCAAAGGTTCATTTATTTAATTATCCAAAATAAAGTTTATATTTATGGAAAAATTATTAGAGGTCTCCTAAGGTCAGAGAAACACTTAGGCAAAGTTTCATGATTTTTTTGAATCAAATTGTTATTATTTATTTTAATTTGGGGTAATTTTCATGATTTATTTTAAATAGAAAATAGTGTTTTAATTACAAAAATTATTTTTACATTTTTATTAGATTTCTCTGAGTTCAGAAAACCCAGAGAATCAAATCCTAATTTTAAATTTATTTATTATAATTATTTAAATAGGAAAACATGAAAATTTTATTTTTAAGTCTTTAAAATTTACTTTTAACTTAGAAAAAATTAGGAAAAATGTCCTAATGAATTGTAAGTGATCAAGGGACATTCTCACTCATGCTTTTCAAATTTATATTTTAACTCAGAAAAATTAGGAAAAATATCTTAATGAATTTTAAGTGATAAGGGGACATTTCCACTCATTTTGAACCATTTTTTTGTATTTTTGAAAATTTTGATTATTTTAATTATTTTTAATTCAAAATATATTTGAAAAATGAAAATATTTTTATAAAAATGAATTTTATTTTTATAAAATGCCCCTGATCACAAGAAACTCAGAAAAACAACTTTCATAATTTTTCTAAGCATATTTAATTTAATATAATTATTTTTATACAAAAATGTAAAGTTTTCTTAAAAATTCACTTTAGTGCTTAAACTAAGCCAA